TTATAAAGGCATTCAGTACACTTATGAGTCTGGCGATCAGTCTATCAATAGTATAGGTAAATCGGAGATCCAGATTCTGAAGGTTTACTAAGTGATTGGCTATTATACTTGTTAAGCAAAGTAAATCTGAATTGTATATCCAAATATACGTTTGCTTGTATTCAAAGATTCCTCTATTCGAGATGGTAGTGATTTGAGTAGTGTAATCAGAGCCATTGTACAGATTGTTATTAATTATTGTTATAGCGATAGTTAGATTGGAAAAAGTTAAATCCAGAATATGTTCTCTTATATGCATAGGGGTATCAGGAATCCCGATATATTCCATTTCCTGTTCGGCAGTCCATATGCAAGTGTATCACTTTGATTGGTAGTTGTTATTCTGGGTTCCTATAGATTATATTTAGTATTGAAGTTATTTCCAATAATCATATCAATCCCTGGGGCAATCTTTAATCCAAATATGTATTTTATTGTAACGGATCGAGCGGAGTGCGGTAGGTATTGAGGATCGAGTATTTGTTAATATTAATCCAAAATAGGTTTCTGCTTTTAGTTACTTTATTTATCTAATCTTCAAATTGTCTCCTTTTTGTATATAAATAATCACTTGTAATCTATACTCAAAATCATTAGTCGTTTTCTAGGTATCAATCGGCTGGTATTGGTTATATGCGGTATGATTTTGGGTTGTCGAGTTATTGTATAGTTGGGGTTTTTGGATATAGATGATATCCATATCAGCTTTTCTAGTAATCTGTAGGAAGGTAATATGATTGGAGTGTTTATATCTTATATTTGCTTATGTGATTGTAAGCCTCTTTCCCCCTATTGAGTTTGTATTGGTTGTGTGATTTATACAGGAGTAATGACGGTTTTGTTAATGTTTGACTTACTCTTTTTGTTTATTTCAGAATTGGAAGGTGAGAAGGCTTTTTCAGCTATAACTACTACATTATAGTTTATCTCTTTGTTAGTATAACATAGAGGGTTATGGTTTGGGGTATAAATCAGATTATTGGAGGGGCCTTTTTCTAATCGGATTTGTTTAAATAATCAATTTACTAATTGTCATTTGTTTTATAGATAATAATACAAACCCTTGATACAAGGGGTTTGGGGATAACCATTTGAGGTTGTTTGACTAGCATTAGAGTAGATACTTTTTCTTTATATATTTCCTAAGTCTTCCTTCAGTTAGTAATTCTGATTTTTCTTATTTATTGGTGAATGAGTCTGATCAGTTTTTTCATTGACTGATTATAATACTACTGAATAATTGCTATACACAGATTGGAAGGATTCTAGGCATTCTGTATATTGAGTATTGTTTTGATATTGCTTATAAATCTTTCTATCGATATATTTAGTAGTTAGTTTATTATACTAGAACACAAGCTGGGGTGATAATATAATATACAGGTTATAGTATAACTGGTACCTGTTAAAGTGCTATTGTAATTGAGGGTATTGTAATCTATTAAGGGGCTTTGAGTATTTACTGATATTAAATAACTGGAATGGTTTTATTATCTTTTTGAAACTAACCAATTCAATTAATTCTTCTATAAAAGGGTTCACTCTATACTTAGAGACTCTGTATTACATTGATTTCTTTTCTATTTATATCTTAATCTTTTTTCAGATGATTGTATCTGGGAGTGTTGTAAGTGTGCTCAGTATATTATAAAGGATCTGAGATACAATATAATTATACAGGTCCTTCGCGGTTTGAGTTATTATCCATATTAAGCACAATAATCAGCTGTATACGATTTTCATCTTATAAGAAATTCTTACATTCCTCTAGCGTTTTGTATTCTAGGGTTCCCCTATTCTATTGCAATAAAGTAAAGGGATTAATTCGAGCCTTAATTCAAGAATTAACTTCTATAATCTTTAATTACAATTCGAAAAAATTATTAATATCATTTATTACCCACTTCCCATTTTTATAAAGATTATACAACTATTTCGCTTCCGTTGTTTACACTTCTATATTGTCTTTATTATTTTGGATATACTTGTTTTGATATTCTTTGGTATCTAAAACGCCCCCTCATCTTGAGCATATCAATATAGGATTTGATAATTTTTTTTTAAGATTATTCTTGTAATTGATATAGAGATTCTTTATAAAATCCAACTGGTCTTATAATCTTAATTATATTATCGATATACACAAATCTTAATATATCGATATAGCTTAGTTCCATTTTAATTCAAGTTTTAATACATATATCGATTGTATTCGCAATCTTTAGGATTATTTATTGCTTTCTATTCTTTTTATAGAATTAATCAATTATTGCTTTATAAATAAACTATATATCATTATCTCTATTCACTTTAATTGTTGATGTGGTTATTATCGTTATTGTTAGAGTAATTGGGTTGTGACCCAATATACTCGGCGATGCGATAGGTTGCTCACGATCGCATATTGATAGTATCATAGTATTATAAGATTCCTTCAATATGATTTGTTATGATCGTTGTATTTGAGATCCTGATTTTGTATAATTAAATTGAGATAGAAATTTTTGAATGATACTATTACATATAGTGTGAGGCTTTTTCATATATTTATTTAGACGTCAAAATCGTTTATACGATAATCATTTTCTATTTTAGAGTATAAAATATAATAATATTTATAAAATCTTTTATTAATTCTTTTTTAATAATAAAGTTTTACAAATAAAGAATTGAATAAAGATACTAATATAGAAAAGTAATATGATTTGATCTTCGTGCTTTATATAGAAGCTCGGCCTAAAGAAGAGGGGATATACTATTACGAAATCAATATATAAATATCCTCTATGATGTATATAAAGAACAAATAATATTAAATATTTAACGATATACTAGTTTGTTTTGCTTATCTTCCTACACCGCATTTCCGCTAGGACATACTTGTATTTAGATTCCCAGATCCTTATAATCCTCTTGCTTCTTTACGAAAAACTTATCAAGTATAAGTTCTATTACCACAATATTATAATTCCCTAACATTAAGCCACATTATTGTATTCCCAATATCCTGATTTCAGAATTCTACTATCATCAAAGCTTTCAAGAGCTCGCTATATCATACCATATCATAGCCTTACACTTTAAAGACTTCGACCCGCCTGTCCAGATAGGTCGTTCTGAATTGGCCTTCCGCATACGTCTCCTCACTTCCTCGAAGGAAAGGGGTGAGATATCAGCGATACCGCCCAGGTTCTCGACTTCCGCACAATCAGGCATCTTGAATCTAAGCGCTTGTGACTTCCCGGTCTTTTCTGCGGCAAACTCCTTACACACCTTGGACCATTCCTCAAAACAGTGTTTTGATTGTGGAAGAGCGCCTAAAATGATCATAAACTCATGTGGCATATTCTCATATTCAATCCATTGCACAATCAACTCCGCATTGTGCTGCCTGACTAGCTACGACTCTGTTACCATCGATATCTCGCTCACGAGAACCCAGTGCAAACCACATTGGTGGAGCTCCAGTCCAGTCACGCACCGCAGCAGGACATACGAGTTCGTGATCTAGCATTGCAGCAGAGCAGTAAGATGTTCTCGTGGTGGATTTGAAGGCCAAATCTTATCGGTAGGATGACCTTGTAAAAGTGCAGGTTGCAGAATACCGAGGATATCGTCCGCGTTCGGGAGATTCTTCACAGAAGAACAAACGAATTCATGATGAAAGAGAGAGAAAGTTAAAATTATAATCACCGAACCAACATTCACCGATTTGCTCCTTGGACTTCGCCCACCAATAAGGGAGAATGTGATTCTACGGTATAGGTACCGCGTCGAGATGAGAAGGGGGATACGTGCATATCTTTCTTGAAGATGTGTTTGAGTACCCGGTCTGTGGTTGAGGAGAATCGGAATTCGAGCCATGGGAGGAGGGGGGTGGAGGAGGAATAGGATGTATGGGGAAGAAAATACATAATTCGCTCATCAAAAGTGTTATTCACCTCGGCAACCATAGCTTTCAACACCATTAACGAATCGTACAAGTACCAAAAAGAAGCCGGATTGAACATATGGCCTAGAATTCTCGGTGTGGTAACCAAATACACAAACGGATAATCGTTTGGATTTTTGCCCTATCGTTACATATACATCAGACTTCATTCGCTCTCTCTCTCTCTCTTTCAAAAGCAAGAAATGGGAGTTTAGAGAGGAAGTACCTCGGATTCCAACCATAGATCGAATTTCCTTCTGAGACCAATATCGTTGTGTCCTCGCTGTAGATGATCTCGAGATTCTACGCTCAACCATCCTCTTTTGCGAATCCCGCAAATGTCGACGGATAATATCCAATGTGGTTGGGGGTGTATATAGCATGGGTGTGGCCGAGGAGAAGAAAAACTGTAGTTGAAGGAGTGGTGGACGGGTGTAAGACGGTGTGGTATATGAGGGCGAGGAATATGAGGGGTTTTTGGTGGGGTAAATTTGGGTTTCGGGGGGATGAAATTGCGTATGCAGAAGTGGCTTTTGAAAGCTGGAGAATGAGGTAGGTGAAAATGAAGAGGAGGAAGACGAGGGAGAATAGCGTAATTGCAAAGAGGGAAATGAGTTCCATGGTAGCCGTTTCGGTATAAAGGTTTTTGGTGAAGCGGAGTGAAGTGGAGGAAAGAAGATAAAAACTATTAGTTGAGGTTCTGTGGCTTCCCAAAAAATCTCTTCTTGAGAGTAAGATTTAGATTCCAACAAAAATCTATAGAGAGCTCATGTGTATAATACTTTTTTCTTCTACAATGAATTTCTAATGCTACATCCACTTCTTAGCCTTGCTAGAGTGTATGAACATGTCCCCCCAATCCCCAAAATGTATCTATATATCCATGTACTTCTTTCATCTTTTCTTCGCAATAGACCAAAACTCTTTCTCGTCTAAATCCTATCACACGCCGAAAACATAACGTCGTAAGTCTAATACTCTATACAAAAGTTGGATATTGTAGGGTGCTAAACTTAATTGCCAAGAACAAATGGGTATGCCGAAGGCGCTGACTGCATGCATACATACATACTTGCATCAACTTCCTGTACGTCCCAAATTCCCCGCCTCTTCCTCGTAATTCTCAATTCCCCCTGCAAGAAGCCGCACCATGCATGGCACGTAGCTGTGCCGCAAGAACCAGCTTGTTTGACAGAAGAAGTACCACTACGGCGTTCTGACCTACTTGTAATTGAGTTTGCTTTCAGCTGGGCATCAACATCGAAACATAATCATTACACAATCTAGCAACGAGAAAGAAAATTGGCATCTCCAAAACTTTTCGATTCGTATCCTGCTTTCCCAATTCATGTTCCGATTGCAGACGTGGAGAAGATCTCTTTGGCCAAATTGACGGCTGGAGACCCAACGGAGGTTTCGCGTATGTTTAGCGCATGCACGGAACTTGGATTCTTATTGCTCGATTTGAAGAACGATGAGGTGGGAATGAGTTTGCAGAAAGATGTTGATGTCATGTTGGGTCTTGCGAAGGAGGGTTTTGATCTGCCTTACGAGGAGAAAACTGTGTACAATCAAGTTCCTCCTCAAAAGCTTGTTGGGTGCGTTCCTCATTTTCTCAAGCTCTTTTCTTGAAGCCTCCTAGATGAATAGATCACGAGGTGAATATGGGGTAGATTCGATGTGCATATGTGCTAAAGTGTGGAAATAGTTACAAGGCAGCAGGTGTGATGAAGACGGAAACGGGACAACCTGATCAATGCGAATTCTTGAGTATCAGTCGAGATGGTGCGTATAACTACAGTGCAAGCTTTCATACCTCGAATATAGGGTAGATGCTAACAGTGCATCTTGTAATACAGAAATGCTAGGCACCGAGCCCATGGGCGAAAACCCACGAGTCATCCACGAAAACCGCACCCACATAATCTCGTATCTCAACCACATAAACAGCATCGCACAGCTTCTACTTGCGTCTATCGACTCGTAGCTCGGTCTACCTGATGGCAAATAGTCATCCCTGCAGAAAGTCAATATGCCATCCGGTACAGTAATTCGTATGATTCGATATGCTTCACAAGATCCCTCCGCTCGTCGCACCACTCTACTTCCCCACACAGACTACGGTTCCATCACTCTACTCACCAGCATTCTGGGGGGGTCTCCAAATCCTCCCTCGCGACAGCGACGAACACGACTGGCGCTACATCAAGCCGGTACCCGGCTGTCTAATCGTAAACTTGGGCGACGCAATGGTCGAATGGACGGGCGGAGTCTTACACTCGAATCTTCATCGCGTAACGTATGCACCTGGCGCACAAGCAGAATGTACAAGACATAGTATAGCGTATTTAATTAGACCCGAACGTGATGTATCGATGAAGAGAATTGTGGGCGGAAGAATTCCTGAGGTAGGGCATGATGAAGAGGAATTGGATATTACGGCTATGGAGTGGGAAATGAAAAAGACAATGGCGTTAAAGGCTGGGGCTGATATTGCTAAGACTCGGGGCGGAAGGCCTATGAAACCTTTGTCTGTGTAATGCAAAACGGTCGCTATTTAGGCGTGTAAGACTCAAGGAAAATAATCTCTTCTTTAGTAAGTCAGCATAGTCACATGAATATATTCTCAACAACAAGTCTTTTTTCATGTGCTTGTATGTGCATCAGGCAAACAATAAAAGAAATGATAATGTAAAGAGATTTTAATTCAGATCGGCAGTTCTCGACCAAAGATGCCACTTAACCTTCTGTTGATGTTAGGTTAATCGTTGCAGCTACAATACCATGCTCCTTCGGTTGATGTAAGTCACCAGCGCATGAATGAGGCACATAATTCAGAATGATTAAATTTTGAGCTCGGAAAATGAGCTGATTCGATTATCGTTCGTTTTTGGACGATATTACCTTGGTGGAACTCAAATGGGCAATAAATGTATGATAAGGCATATAAAGATACCATGGAGGATTCAACAGGACAAGACAGTGGGACTGGAGTACAGCACCGCCGTTCATGTGTAGATACGCCTTGCCAGCTTTGGTGACGCGACGATGGTGTATGTATCCACAAGGGACGTAGTATGTGTATACATTCCATTTGCTTTCCCGTGACCAGCATACTGGCATCTTTTTGAAGTATCATACTTCGACATCTACATATCAAACGAAACTTTAAACTTCCTTGTAATGTCGCAGGGTGAGCAAATCAAAGATTAAGACCATGTCGCTGTCCCTACCAGCGACAAACAAGCCTCATCCGACGCCCAGGAATCTTCAGATGTAGAGAAGAAAGCTTCCTTCACAACTCCAGATGGCATCGTTGAAGATACGTCTTTTGTATACATGACAGGATGGAGAATCCACTTGATGCGACTATGGCAAGTCAACTTATACAATGGGAGTTTGAGAATGATGAATGCTAATGTGGGCGACCCGACTGTAGTTGTTCAATCTCCATTTTTCTCGTTAATATGGAAGTCTCCATCATTGGCACATCCCTAATATCTATCACCAATGATCTGCGAGGTTTCAGCCAAATGGGCTTGGTTGTAACGGGCTATCTTATTACCTATACGGTATTTTCATCTTCCTTCCTTTCTTTTCATGATCCCACTTGCAAATTCCTCGTTTTCAATATCGACGAGACGCAGTGATCCAAACGCAAACGTACTAACGGTGCAAACAAAAAAGGCTTACTCATAATCTGGGCCAAGATTAGCGACATCTACGGGCGCAAGCCCGCGATGATAATCTCCATGCTTATATTTACCGTCTTCTCCGGCGGATGTGGCGCTGCTCACACCATGATGCAACTGTAAGCTAGCTGCCTGCCACCTTTCCATGCCAGGTCTGACAAAGTATAGGATTGTATACCGAGTATTCCAGAGTATGGGAGCCGCGGGTATGGTATCGTTAACGCTAGTAGCCGCATATGAAATGGTTTCGAAAGATAAATATCCATTGCAAGCAGCTCTTATAGGGTCTGCAATTGCATTGGGGAGTCTAGTGGGGCCGTTGATTGGGGGAGGCGTCAGTGAACATTCGACTTGGAGATGGGTGTTTTTGATCAAGTAGGTACCTTTCTTTCCCAAATGCATCCTACAACACAGAAAATTAACTGACAAATCCATTAGTGTTCCTGTCGGTGTGGTGTGCGCGGCTCTACTTTATATCTCTGTTCCTTCCAATTTTCCCTACCATGGTCGTCCTGTCCTTCCTCATCCTATCACAAACTCTCTCTCTCGTCTCAATATTTCGGGGGCATCTCTTCTCCTGGGCGCCACCGTCTTACTCGTAACAGTCCTTCTTGAAGCCGGTATAGAATTTGCCTGGAAATCCGGTACTGCGATTGCATTAATAATCTTATCTGGAATACTATTCGTCGCATTCATGCTGAACGAGAAGGTAATGAGTAAGGAAAAAAGAACTCAGGAACCTGTATTTCCTTTCAGATTTTTATCGAATCGGCCTTAGATGGGGACCTTGCTGTACGTTATTTCCATCTCTCTACCTCACCCTTCAGTAATCCAGAAACCCAAAAGTAGAAACAAAAATGCTAACGAAAGCCACAGGATGTCATTCCTCTCCGGAGTCCCCTACAACATAATCGTAATTGACATACCCCGACGCTTCCAAGCCATCGATTCCATCTCGCCCTTCACATCCGGACTCCGACTCATCCCCTTCAATTTCTCCATCTCCCTCTCCCCCATTCTCGTCAACATCATTGCCAAACAACGTGTACCGCCTATCATCCTTCTCTTCATTGGTTCCATCATTCAACTTGTCGGCATGTCGCTCTTCTCCACCCTTCCCGAGAACGGTACGCTACCGAACACCATTTATAGGTGGGAAGTACTGACCGGTTTTGGTATGGGTTGGGTTATGGGCATCTGTTTGTTGTTGCCACCAGCGGTGGTCGAAGGTAGAGATCTGGGTACGTCATTACATCTTCCTCCCTTTCTCCCTTCATTCTTCTTCCATAACCTAATATGTGAAATTCCCAATTTCTAAATCTTATCTTAAAATCCATACCGTTCATCAGTCGCAGCCATTGTGCTTCCTTCCTTCTTCAATCTTCAATCTTCATTCGCTCCCCTCCATCCCTCCCTCCACCTCACTCACTCACTCACTCACTCACCCACCCACCCCCTCACCCCCTCACCCACTCCCAGACTCAACTCAGTAACCAACCCCACCAAAAACATCCACAATCAATTTCCCTCGCCCCCGCTTTCCCATGGTGTTTCCCCCCTTTTGACCCCACCTACCCACCCACCATGGTGCTAAAAGGTATGGTACGGATGGAGAATGGAGAATGGATGGATGGAGGGGAGGGAAGCAGTGGAAGAGAAGAAGTCGGTTAAGGCGGGATTCGGAACGGGTGGATGGACGGGATGGGATGGAATGGATCGAGATCGTAGAGAACATAATAGCATACTCTCTTTTGATCAGAAACTCACATCCAAATACAAAAACCAACAAACATATCAATAATAGAGGAGTCATTTCATTATAATTTTACATCGCTTGCATAATACATTTCCTGAAATCAAATAGCTAAAATCATGACCAAACATATCTCCATCGAATTCATCAAAAAAATTGAAATCTCATCTATATTCCTTCATTTCATCATATGTATACATACATGCGAAAAGAAAGCGCTAGTATTGCATTGGAATTGAGGATCTCAAAGATTCATTGTAAAATTTATTTCAGGAATTGAGGTTTGTTGAAAGGTGGGTATTTTCGGACTATTTGATCATAGGGATTTTGAGAGAGATTTGTTGAGTTTAGTTTCCTGGGTTCTTGGCGACAAATTCAACACCCTTTGCGATGTTCTGTGAGAAAGATGTGTTAGTATTAAATCCAAATTGAATAGAGATAAACCTCAATATCATAGGAAAACGAACCTTCTTCAAATCGGCCAAGCATGCCTCCAACAACTTCTCCTCAGCAGCATCAACCTTTCCGACTTCCAAGATCTTTTGAACACCATCTGGTCCTAACTCAACCTTGCTGGCGAAGAAATCAACACCTTGATCCTTGTACAATGGGCTGTCAACGAAAGTTGGCTCAACAACACCAGTCTCTCCTTGGGAAGCCTTCAACAAAGATTCGGCCATACGGGCACCAGCCATAGCCATGGAGAGGGTAGCGGATCCAGCACCGTCCTTAGCTTGAACAACTTCATCACCACCGAATTGGACACGCTTGAGAAGGTTCTCGTTACCGACGAGATCTGGGTGGGAAGATTGAGAGAAAAGAGGAACAATGGTAACACCAGAGTGTCCACCAACAACAACAATGTTCTCATCGGCTGGGTCGGACTTCTTGATCTCACTAACGAATCTGCTAGCTCTAACAACATCCAAAGTGGTAACACCGAAAAGTCTCTTTGGGTTGTAAACTCCCTTGGCCTTGAAGATCTCGGCAACAATTGGAACAGTGGAGTTAACTGGGTTGGAGATAACGAGGATGTTGGCGTTTGGTGCAGACTCAGCAGCAGCCTTTGCGAGATCGCGAACAATGGATGCGTTGGTGTTGAAGAGATCATCACGAGTCATACCAGGTTTACGTGGAACACCAGCTGGGATCAAGACGATTTCGGCATCTTTGAGAGCAGAGGCGAGACCAGATGGTGTTGGCTCATATCCGGTAACCTTGGACTTGGTGTTGATGTGGGAAATATCAGCTGCGACACCTGTTTATCCAATTGAACATCCTGTTAGCGTAACCGTACATCCAAATTCCCTTCTTCTTGACTTTATCTCCTTGACAATATATATTCAAGAAATTTCGACGAACCTGGACCTCCACGGATATCGTACAAAGCCAAATCGGTAACGCGGGGGTTCAACTTGAGGAGAAGGGACAATGGTTGTCCAATTCCTCCAGCGGCACCGAGGACGGTAACCTTGGAGAGCTGTATTGTATATAAAATTAGTTGGGATTCACAAAATGACGAAGCCAAACCAATGAGTTCAATCAAAACATCAGACGAGAAAACATGATCTTACATCTCTAGCAGAAGCAGAGAAAGCTCTGGTTTGGACTGCTCCAGTCAATGCTCTTCTTGCGGCGAACATGATGTGAAATATATTATTATTTGATGAGGGGGTGGGAAAGGAGAAAGGAAGAAAGAATGTTGGTGTGGATTAAATATTTGATGAGGGACAAAAGAGACTTTCGGTGGAGAGGAATCTTTTCGTGTGCCGGTAATAGGTTATTTCATACAAGCTGTTGTTTGTGTTGACCAAGGTTTCCGGCTGGTTCCCGATCGTTGAAACTAAACCTAGATAGGAAAGGCCGCATGATTTTGATATATCACGTGTGCAAAGTGGACCGAGGTCGGCATTTGAAAGATGTTGGGTTATTTTCGGAGAATCGCAAGAGGATATGTGCAAGAAAGCAATGTCTTTGGATATACGGAGTAGAGAGCTATGAGACTTTGAGAGCTTGAGAGCTTGAGAGCTTGAGAGCTTGTCGTCATCATTAATCGATTGAGATGACGCTCCGCTGGTCCTCCGGGGGCCACTGCCGTGGAGGCAGACTATTTTCAACACGATCACATATGCGTTCTGATATCATACGCACGGGTGCGTTGTGCTAAACCTGGATTCAGAGCATAGTTCTATCTTTGTGTGCAGGTTAATGGTATTTTGCTACTCGAAAAGCATTCATTCATTGAGAGTGGCCAGGTCAAGAAGCTTAGCCTTCTAAATTACAAACTCATCACATCTTCTGTCTTCTACAGAGTCACATACTTCCCATAGTTGGGAATGAACTTACTTTCTCTAAAATCAGACCAAATCTCCAAGGTGGATGACATGGTATCATCACGGAAGTTCAGGTTTCTTCTAGATTACAATACCCAGGTGCTCAAACACAATCCAGGCGAGCCAGGGAATCTCTCGGCAAGCTTTAGATATTAATCAATTGCGTCCCGAAGTCCTTCCGAATTTCATGTATACCCGAGCCTACAACCGCTCACCCGAAACATATATCCCACCTCACCACTTGACCCAGCAACAATTCTTTATTTTGAGCAAGTACTTCAATCTCAAGATCTAGTGGTCTGATTGGCACGCTTGAAACGTTGTGTCGTTGATCCAATTCTACTCTTGGTTCGGATAAAATGGAAGAAACGTGGGGGAACACAGGTGGGGTTATACAGGAATAGCAATATCTACAACTTTGAATATCAGCCTAAATGCAAAGATCTTGTCTTCAATTACATAAAACGTATAACCATATAAATTTGAGCTTCGAGACGTGCGAACTTTCTCTTTATTCTTATGACTGAAAGTTCTTGCAGCAGGGAACTTTTTGTTGGCACTCTTATTATAGTCGTACAAGTTACCAAGCTGCTTCTCTCCCATTTACAACATGTCTAACGGCATCCTTCGCGTCAAAGGCGACCAAATCGTCGATAACTCTGGTAAATCAGTCATCCTTCGTGGGGCGGGTCTAGGAGGATGGATGAACATGGAGAACTTCATCACCGGTTTTCCAGCCCAAGAACATCAGCATCGAGCTGCCATGTTAAAAGTCCTGGGCAAGGAGAAATACGAGTTCTTCTTTGATAAATTCCTAGAGTATTTCTTCATGGAAGAAGATGCCAAATTTTTTGCTAGCCTGGGTTTGAATTGTCTACGTTTGCCATTCAATTATCGTCATTTCGAAGATGACATGAATCCTAGAGTTTTGAAAGAAAGTGGGTTCAAACATCTGGATCGTGTTGTTGATCTTGTAAGTATATCTCGAACCTCTATGTCTACATATATTAACACAAATAGTGCGCCAAACATAAAATCTACACAATCCTCGACATGCATACTGTCCCTGGCTCGCAAAACCCAGAATGGCATTCCGATAATCCATCAAACTATGCCTCTTTCTGGGACCATAAAGATCATCAAGATCGTACAATATGGTTGTGGTCGCAAATCGCCGCCCGCTACCGCGATAACCCATGGGTAGCAGGTTATAACCCCATCAACGAGCCCTGCGATCCCCAACATCATCGTCTCCCAGAACTCTACACCCGTTTTGAATCCGAAATTCGCCAAATAGACCCCAACCACATTCTCTGGCTAGACGGAAATACCTTCGCCATGGAATGGAAATACTTCACCACCATCCTTCCCAACTGCGCCTACTCACTACACGACTATTCATCCATGGGTTTCCCGACCGGCACCCCCTTCACCAATTCCCCCGCCCAAATCGAGCAACTCGAATCGAGTTTCCTACGTAAATGCAAATTCATGCATACCCATTCCGTTCCCAGCTGGAACGGCGAATTCGGTCCCGTCTACGCCGACCCATCTCTCGAGCCCAACGCTTCGGAAATAAACGCCCAGCGCTACTCTCTCCTGGGCGCCCAACTACAAATCTACGATAAATACCAAATCCCCTGGAGTATCTGGCTCTACAAAGATCTCGGACTCCAAGGCATGGTAACCACATCTCCCTCCTCCCCATACAACTCCCTCATATCCTCCTTCGTTGAAAAGAAACGTGCTCTCCAGCTCGATCTATGGGGACCCCCTGCTTCCGAATCGTTAGATAAAGCATTGGATCCGCTCGTAAAGTGGATCGAAGAAAATGCTCCAAATGCCAAAGAAGAATATCCGACAACATGGGGCATTCAAAGACAGATTTTGAGAGGAGTAGTACAAACATACGCAGTGAAAAGTTTTTCGGATGAGTTTGCGGAGCTTTTTAGAGGGCTGGATGAAAATGAATTGGATGCTTTGGCGGGAAGTTGGAAATTCGAGAACTGCATGCGCAGAGAGGGATTGAATAAGGTGTTGAGTGATTTTGCGGAAGTGAGGAGAAGAGCTGAGGGAGAGTGAAGAGGTTTTGTGATATAGTGCTGTCGGTCATAGTAGGCTGGCCCCGTATTCATTTTGACTGCTTTTCTACAGTTGTGATTTATTGTTTGTTTCGAAAGTGAAGCTCGCTTTCCTAAATCTCAAATCTACCAATCGAGGAGGAATCAAAAGCTAGCGCTTCCACCTTTATCACTACAACTCCTCCGCTTCTCCACAGTCCACTAAGGTGTAGACAGAGCTTCAAAGTTGATGTGAGGTATATGTAATAAAAGCGATGAGACTGCCTTACTACACGACCACCTGTGAACTTGGCGATCCTGCCATTCGTTACAAAATTGGAACAGAATCAATCATCTTTCATGCCCACAATCGACCGTTAAAAAACATCTAGTATACGCTTGAACTATCCCAATTATCCTCAAACCCCCGCTAGTTGTATACAATCCGCTGATCTTTTCTCAAAGAACAAGAAATAAAGACATACAGTTATTCGCCAAGCCCAGCCCAGCCTTTAGAAAAATCTGCCCAATTATCAGAGATCGTACCCCTCTGCTTTTTCTTTCCCTTTACGAGAAGTAAATACCATCTCCAGCTCAATAGTGGAAGCCTCGCCTGCCCTGTTATTATCATTGTCATCTGTGTCAGCATGACCATCATTATCCATGTTATGTTCTTCATGTACATTATCCTCATCATTGTCCTCCGTCTTGCCAATAAGGGGCTGATATTCCTCATCCGATTCAGCAGCATCAACATTCGTTCCTTCACTATTGCCCTCCCTAAACTCAACTCCCCCCTGATTATCTTCTGTCTCGCTAGCAAGAGGCTCGATTCCCTCGTTTGTTTCAGCAACTTCCAGATCCGAATCCTCACTACTACTCTTCTCACGCTCCTCTCCTTCCCCATCTTTCTTCATCTCATTACCACTCGATCCATTCCCACTATCCTCTTCGCTAATAACCTCATCAATTGGCGTCTCATCATTCATTGTCGCACCAATCGCCTCACCCGTTAAAAGATCAATCGCCCCACCAACATCACTCTCACTAACAAGCAAAGCTAAAAAGGCTCTCCGGGGCGGAACACCCGTTACCACCACAACCTGATGCAGATCATTCTCCGGATCCACAAGCATATTCCTCATATCTTCCTGTTCGAGAGGATTTTCATCTTGCAGCACTTCAGCCGCACGATCAACATTCCCAGCAGTAGCGTTGAGAAGATTAACAGCTTCAACACGCGACGCTCCCAAATCTCCAAGTCTCTGCATCAATTCTGCAGGAATGGGCTCCTGGTATACATGATCCTCGTTTTGCTCTCGACAGTTGGGCATGCCGCCTTGCGTAGCTTCGTTACCATCAGCGGCGCTGATACTGGATTCGTGTTGAGAAGCTTTGGAAGCAATGTTGTTTTTGACCCTCAATACGTCTATCTTCTCAGAGATACTACCCCCCTTTCCACCAGCGCCGCTCCTCGAAGATTCCCCACGTGTTTCACCTCGAAATGCTTGACCGGTGTCAGCCGCTGGGAACAGATCCGGAAGCGGAGCTAAGATTAGTGAAGACCGTCTACGAAATAATTGAGTATCAGAAGAATTTCTTGAGATATCTGCGCCCGTCTCGCTAGCATTTCTATCACGCCTGAAATTCTCACTTGGAGCTGCTGCAAAAGGCCAATCATCCAAGACTCCCGCACCCTTTGCCGTAACCGGACCGGCCTTGCCAGTGTCTGAAGATGCTTCGCGCGTGTTAGAGGAAGAATCATCTTGTCTCTGCTGTTGGCCTTCTCTTGCATACCAATTGTCAAAGATTTCCCGCACACGACGTGCCCTTAATAAGTGGTTGTTTGCGCGTGTAACTAAGTTGGGAAAGGTAACGGTATCCCGCGGTTCGTTGCTCAGATCTACCATTTCGCAACTGTTCTGTACATATTGGCGGATGTCATCTACCTCATCGTCGGTAAGCTGTGTTTCGAAGTTGTGCTTAGAACTTGGGGCGCCATGTATGATAGCATTGCGCTTGAACCAGATTTCCTCCTTGAGAGAAAGAAACTTCCATAAGATATCTAAAAGCTCGTTTCTAAAACGCCGCTGTGTCTCATTTTCCGTCTCATTTTCTTCTTGTTGGCTTTCGGGTCGTTGTCTTGAAGCCCGGTCAGGCTCTGAAGGCTTCGGAGACTCAGTATCTTCAACATGTTCAACCTGTGCTGCATTTTCTCTTTCCTCCGAAGTATCCGAATCAACCTCTCTAACCGTTTCAACAGTTTCAGCTCCCTGTTCTGAAAGGTTGACAACTTGTCGAGGAGTTTCATTTTCTACAGATTCATCTTTATCTCGATTTTGCCCATCCCCCATCCCTGAAACACCACTGTCATCTCGATGATGTCTTTGCAGTCCATCTTCTGTGCCAGGCATGTCATTTTCCGTCGCTGGTGGATCAGGTCCTATTATTGCCCCTTCACTTTCTGAACGGTTTCTTAACAATCGCGCAAACCTCAACCTGTTTCTTGTAAAAAATCTGGTCTCATTCTCATTCCCACTCCCTCCTCGTAGCTGAGTTTTATTCGTCAAGTACATCATTGTAGGGCCGTAGGGCGTGGGGTTAAGCGATGAATCACGAAATAACTTGCTTTGAGCAGTTCTTGCCAGATTCCTTCTCCTTTTAGTTATTCCCTTGGCAAGCTTTGTACAAGCTCCCAGAATAAAATTAGTTATCAGCCGATAGTTTTTCTTCACACCGAGTCTGTTCTCTTTCTTTTGAATTTTGTCTTTAAATCCCAACTCATGGATATCTGTCGGTTCCGGTTCTTTGACACGACTGCTGGAGTGATGCTCCGGTGAATCCGTTTCCAACCCTCTTACATTTGTCGCAAGTTCGACTTCGGTGTTGATTTCCAGCCGTGGATACCGGTATACATTGCTCAAGTGTGAACCTTCGCTCGCTCCGGCAAGTGCAGGGTACCGCTCATATTGTTCAAATTTGTCTTCCAAAGATTCCCTTTCTTCCTCGCCTTCCGTAGTTTCTAATCGCCTCTTGGATTCATCGCTAATTCTTTCGCTGCCTTCGTACTCATCACTATCTTCAATCTCTTTCTTCCGGGGTTGTTTCTTGTATCTCTCGCAAAAGAACTTGTCTTTGATAGATTTCAGAGGAATTGTAACCATAGCACGTAATTTGTCGCGTTTGTGGGTAGCCTTTGACGATTTTGATGGACTATCAATAGAAAGACTCTCAGCCGTATTGATCCCTCCCCTAAGTCGCATATCATTCACTTCAAGGCCAGTGTACGAATGTGTAGAATCACTGCTGCTGTTGAGATTCTTCGTGAAGTCGTAATGGCATTTTGATTTAGATTCAGCGCTTGAGCTATCAGGCCGATTGCCTTCAGTGAAAATTTCAGGATTGAGCTTGGCGATAGATTCAACAGAATCATTACCTCGAATGCCGCGTCTTGTATCAATCCGACAGATGCCACTCAGGTACCTCAAGTCTATTGTTGAATCATACTCAGGAAATGGTTTCCGCAGCAAAGTTAGAACCACCATAACCAAGATCTATATCATGCTGAAAGTTGTGATAGGAAATTCTCTCGGTGATCCGCTTGAAGTACTGTTTAAAGTTGTTTCTGTTTGAAGCATATCCTCCACGAAGATGAGGAAGGCATTCTAAAATAGGTGAAGTTGATTCTTTGACATCTGCTGCGAGTGGAGTATTACAAGGAGTCTCGAAACTTGTTACGCTTCCAAATCCGGTTGAAGATAATTGTTCTGGGGTTACTTGGGATGGAATGCTTTCTGAAATGAAAGAAGTTGCTTCTTCACTGTCCGGCCCAGAGTCAACTTCTAGGGTAGGGGTTTCCGCCACAGCAAGCTGTTGCAAAGCTCCATGTAGCTCGGTTTGAACCCATGGCGATTCAAGAATTGTACCAGAGTTTTCATTTTGCAAAGCGTAGAAACGCGACTTTTTCTTGGTATCTTGTCGTTCCATTTCAACTTGTTCTACCCAGTCTTTCACCACCTCAAAGCAATTCGGGGTTGTTTTTATATATATAGAAACTCCCCCTTCATCTGAATCATTAGAGGAGTTAGTGGCTTCCATAGGCTCATCTTTCATAGTGGTTGTCATGTGTGTAGGTATTTGGTAGTTGGAATGCTTAGCATTGGCCAGCATCTGCATCTTCTTCATTTGGTGATACTGCATTGTTTGAACATCAGTTGTTGGCTGTCCTTTAGTAGTAGCTCCGATGCTTTGAGGTATTAGTGGTTGCTGCATTTGTTGTTGAGATTGCTTATTGAGCTCTTCGGATAGTTCGGAGAGGGCTGTTTTCACATGAGGCTCTTTCCCAGAGCCATCCTTTGATGTCGAATCCGAACTGGATTCTTGCGCAGATGTTGAGGGTTCATGACGATCTCCACGTAGCTTAATACCACTTAGTCGAAGTCCGATTGAAGTGTATTGCGCAATTTTTGTATCAGCTTTGCTGCAGGGAGTTGGATTGGCATTTAAAGTTTCCGTACGTTGTAATTGTCGAGTTGAATATCCATTGAATATCCGAGGGCGAGGAATGTAGTGGAGTAGTTCATCGTGCTATCGATACGGTATCAGTGAGTATCCTAAGCTAAGTAATGGATCATTTCATGAAATTTGACTTCAGCTGAGACAAAATCTGGACCAAAAAAACACTTACATTCACTAATCCACGAACATAAGAGCCACTATCTGGTAGGAACCGAGACGTACCCACCGAAACAGGACAACCTTCGAAATGCCCCAAACTACAGGCAAAATCTCTCAAAATGTCCTTCAGTGTTTCGTCAATTAATGGTATATATTCTGCCCCTTCAAAATTTAGCTCAATATTGATGAATTTCCAAGGATGAAGTTTGTGTTTTCTTAGCACTATCTTAAGATTGTTGGATATAGGTTGCTGAATTTTGGCATTAGAGAGCTTGTTATGGCTTATTGTCTTCCTTAGAGCATGGATTGCTCTCGAAATGGACGAAGAGGCGAATGTAAGATGGATAATGATCTCTGATAATTTGGGTTCCGCCAATAAAGCACGAACGGTTGATAGGGCTGGGTCGGGTCGAAAAACCATATTGAATGAATATTCTAATCTTTGCTATTATGTTTTTTGATAACGACAGTGATAATAAAGTAGCTTTCTAGGTCTGCAAAGTAAACAAACGCTCATAAATATTGAACGAGCGTAATGATTATGTGAATTACATTGATAATTAACAGGTTTGTGCTTTGCAGTATTAACATGAGAAACCTACCTCTTTTTGCCGTTCGTTCTTACCCTAGTTGTCGCTCAAGTAGTGATGAAAACCTGGAAGAAATCATACCTTCGCTCCTTCGTAATCCAGAGGTCTTCTCAACAAACGATTCCTAGAATGTGATATCAGTATAAGAACATCATGAAAGATCTGTTATATGATTACAGAACTTGTACGGTTGCCATCAATCCAAATGTGCGAATGCGGAGTAATAGAGGCACCCGTACGCTCACCTTGCTGTCAAATCCCCAAGGCGACTTGAGCTCAGTGTAAGCATATACGATGGACTGTTTCTTTTTGATCTTCATAATGGATCACTGAAACACATCACAGCAATCAGAACTTGCAAATATTGATTTTTACCTCATACACTAGCTTATAACCAGCAGACATCATCATACCTAGATAATTTTAGGCAAATACACATCATAACGACCCTTTGAAGCAACAATCCCCAACATTTGTTTTTAAACCCATCTTAGTTGGGCTAAATCCCAGTCATCGCATCCTATCATTCGCCAGTTTTTTTTGCCCAGATACTCCTAAACAAAGCCATAGCAAGAAGCAAAAATCAAAGACCGTCCGCGCGTCGTGGAACACCATTATTCTGAAAATTTTGTCATATCCGTAAACGCCACCCTAGCAGAAAGAGAATGAAACGAAAATCTTACAAAAATACAATGTAAATAGTGGCTTGATGAGCAGCAAGGCTAAACATATAGGTGTCTAAGCGGAAGGAAGCACAGAAGTTTCGGTCGAAGTAGCTTCGGTAAAGACAGCTTCTGTTGGGGTAACCTCGGCAGGAGGAAGAATAGCAGAAGAAATTTCGGCAGCTGGAGCATCAACATCCATTTTAGAAGATTCCATCTCAGGAGCTTCTTGATGCGTTCCAGACTCCTCGTCATTGCTAGTCTCTGTATCCGCGGGACGCTCATTCTTGACAGCAATTTCCTCTGCAGCATCATCTCTTTCGGCACCAACGTTAAGTTCGTCATCCTGAGCTGCACTGCCTTCGGTAAGTCCATCGTCCTTTTCACCACTCAATTCTTCAGCTTTGACATCCTTCATGGCCTCATCTTCTTTCAGAGATCCAGTCTCTTCAGACTCTTCATCCTTAACGCTGTTAAGAACTTTCTCCGCTTCATCTTTTTCGTAGGTCTCCAATGCACGAGCAACTTGCAATCTCATATGACGTTCCCATTTTGGCATTACTTCACCACCAACTTGAGCACCATTGAGGACCTGCAAGTAATCTCTGCGCATAAGCAAATAAACTTCGTCGGTCTTGTTGTTCATACTCTCCTCAACTCGTCTACACATCTTATCAAGACTCCTTTTGACTTCATCACAACTTTCTTTGAACATAGAGTTGCGTTTTTGATCAATAGAAGCGCGCATATGGTCTTTCATGCGCATATACATGCCAGCTCCTTGAAATGACATTAGCACCAAAATCAATGGGAAAGCAAGATTTTAACATACCTCTTTCACTAGCACAGTATTGATAAGAAGGTGCCAAGTTCCTAGCAATTACAGGCACAAATTCTCGATTGGCATCACGTTGAAGATTGTTAATAGCTTCGACCATTTCCGTGGTTAAGATCGAGAAAGTTGCTTCGTAAGTTCGGAGTTGTTGAGACAGCATGGACAAGCCAGCAATTCCAGAACCATTTCTGCGGCTTCTACTCTCAACTGCCTGATGAAACTTCTTCAGGATCAGATTGGCGTTTGTAGTGAAACTACGCAATACAGAGGGAAGTCGACGGGAAAAATTCTTCTCCCAATGGCTTGCCAGATATTTCATGATTGGCTCTGTCAAGTCGCTATTAAAATCATATGTACCTTGGGCCGTTAGTTTTGCATTATTTTGAAAACCATAAGATAGGGTCTTACCACTCTTGTTTCCATAAACACCATCTCTTCGAGTAACAGCTAGTATCGTTAGCGTGGTAATAGTATTCGTCTGAAGAGAAATTACCCTTGTATGTCTGGAAATGCAAACCGCCAGCTGCACGATCCATTTTGTTGACAGGGGAGCCCCATTTCGCAACAATTCCAGGGGCTTGGTCCGCAGCCAAAGGTATTACTTCGCTGAACTTTTCGAAAATATTCTCGGTCAGGGCGTCTTTCATTTCCAAAATACACTTTCCCACGGCCTTATCGAGGCTTTCCTCTAACTCCTTAACGTTTTTTTGAAGCCAGCGCGCCTCGGTGGCCTTTTGCGAATCTGAGAGGTTAATATTGGTTCCATCATTGTTGGACCATAAAGACAAGGACAACACGAGCTGAAGAAGAGAATTCAGAAATCTGCGGCAAGCAGCACTTCGACCAGCTTCGGTGAGTTTCTTGCAGTGCGCTTGAAGTTGTGGGATCTAAAGAATCAATTATCAGCTGTTCATGGAATTGAGGGCTAGCAAGTCAAAATACCTCGGTTTCCTGGACATTACGAAAGCCCGGTATTCTGGCGTCCTTCTTCAATCTTCCATTCAACTGCTGATAGGCTCTGCTACTAACGCAAAATACTGGAAGACTGCGAGCCACGGCGTCATAATCTCTGATGTCCTCATCCGGGTTGAAATTTTCGGCATCTTCCTCTTCAGCATTTTCCATGTCGAGTTCCTTGATACCAGTCGCAAAGTCTTGCTGAATAGCGGTCTTTGAATAATTGTTGCGACCATCAATACAGATGGCTCTCATTCTGGTGTCAATTTCTTTTCTTTCCGCATCGAACCCCTTCGATTGATTTTTGACATCTTTGATTGCAAGTTCAATCGCAACCTTTTCTTTACGGGCTTTCTTTTTGGTGTCCTTGAGCTCGTCAATCTTTTGTTCAATATCTTCGATTGTTAAAGGTTCGCCTCTGTCGGGGTCTTCTTCCTCAACCTCGGTCTCATTATCAGAAACTTCATCTTGTACTTCCCGGTCGTCGTCCTCATCATCATCAATGAAATCATCGTCATCATCTTCGGATTCGGATTTCTTCGACTTCTTACGCGACTTCTTTGGTGAAGAAGATCGCTTTCGCTTGGGAGATTTTTCAAGCTTGGCTTTGGGAGCGTAAACGGTCTTACCCGCATCTAAATCTCGTCTCAGATCATCCCAAATATCTAAGCTCTCGTCTGCATCGTGATAGATGTCATTATACACGGCCATGCTCTCTTTTAATTCTGCAATTTTTGCGTTAAGCTTATCAACTTCCTTGTCAATTTGGTCAATCTTTGCGTAATCTTCTGTCATGACGTCTTCAAGACCCAAAGAATCTGACGCTTCAAGAACAGAGATATCATCAGTCTTGGAGCATATAAACGTAATCCTCGAGAATTGCTACTTGTTGATTAGCAACTGCGAGTCAGGCATGTCTGTCATATTCGCTTACCCCATCATACTTGAGTTGGCGTTTAAATGATTCTCCTAAGAGAGACTTCGCAGCTTTATCGTCAACTGCACGATTAATAGGCGCACAAACCCATAGACCTGTTATCTTATTAGACAATTGTTACAAAGGAAGCTAAGAAATTGTAGTAATACCGGTGCATTGTTTCATGTAGCCAGCTGCCACAGCGGCGCGAGCTGCGTTTGAGTCGTGAACACCAGGCAAGTCGACAATAACAGCTCCGCTAATAATCAATAAGCTTTTGAAAGAACGCACAATCAAGGTTCAGGTACTCACGTAGAGAGAGCATCGGCTTTTACAAAGATTCTCACAACTTTGATCAAGGGCCAAAATTCCATAGTCGTCTTCTCTTTCTTCATCTCGCTAATTTTACCTTTCTCTTTGGTAGACTTTTCTTTGCTATCAACGTAACGTTGAAGTTCCTTGTAGAAGAATTCTGGAGACGACTTCTCAATGGTCTTGGTAGTTCCGAGAACTTTGCGAACATCGAATTCGGCTAAAAGCTCTTCAACGGTGGATTTTGCTAGCATTTCATGGGTTTTGTTCGGGTAGACTAATGTACAGGTTTAGAAAGTAAATTATATAGGATGGATCATTTTTACTTACCCGCCTTGATCTTAGCATATGCAATTCCAGCTTCGGTTTCTGCATTGGAACAATCTCGTGATATCTGAGAAGAAGTTAGGGACATCATTTAGTTACATTCAATTCATTCCTTACATTGCCAGAAAACATCAATCAACTCATTCAGAGAAAGTTCAAGGTCTTTCTCCCAGTCAGATTCTTGGATGAACTCAATCTCTGCTCGATATTTTTTGTTCGGGTCATCAATAGAGTTCCATGACATTTCCGTAACAACGGCGGTACAAGCGCGCATACTAGAGATTTGTAAGCATCTCAGTTCCTCAAACGGAACAGGAAAGATACCAATTGGTAGGCACTAGGCGTTCTTCATCAAGCATAGCATTGATTATACTACTCTTGCCTGCACCCGTGTTTCCAACGACGCCGATAATTGTTGGTGTATCAACAACTTGAGCTTGTAAAGTTTCTGCGAACATGATTAGGATGGAAGAAGCTATGTACTGGCACCACTTACCGATTTGTTGCAGCCAATGGCTAGTGTCTTGGTTTCCCTGAGCTTCCGGTACTTGAAGGTGCTTCTTTAAACCATTAAGGAAATCGTTTGTTTTCTTCACCTCTTCTTCCAAAACTTCTGGTGAATTATCATCCATGAGCTTCTGAAGTCTAAGCTTTGCGAGTTCGACAGTTTGTGGTTCTGGCTCTGGGCTTCCATTTTCACCTTCGGCCGCCAAGTCATAGTCTGCGGGGTCCATCGAGGTTTGATCTTCGGTTATGGAGGCTCGAGGGCCATTGGCTGAGAGACTGGGACTTTTTGGAAGGGGTTTGGTATCAACGGCATGT